ATATATATATATATATATATATATATATATATATATGAGAGGAGCAAGGTCTTAGGTAGATAGTCAATGCTGCTTACCTCACTAACAGATACACATTTATTTTCTGTAAAAAGATGTGTGTGTGCACGTGTGTGTGTGTGCATGTGCATAGAATATATCAGGGAGGGTACGTATCAGTGTGTTTAAATTTTGAAATGGGACTATATGGGATGGAATGAATGGATATTTTCACTTTTTACTTAAAATATTTTTATTAGTGTATGTTACTTTGGTCACTTAAATTTAAAAGGATGAAAATTCCCTGGCAGTCCAGTGGTTAGGACCTGGTGCTTTCACTGCCAGAGGCCCTGGTTTAGTCCCTGGTCAGGAAACTAAGATCCCACAAACCATGCTGTGCAGCTAAAAATAAAGAAATAAATAAATAAATTTAAAAGGACTGCTTCAGTCTTAAAATGGGCTGCTCAGAAATGGAACTAGGATTTAAACAGAAACACAGTCAGAAACGTATGTTGGTGGATCCCATTCCTGGGTCTGGCCCCTAGTATGGTCACTCAGGTGCCAGTAACAGGTTTATCCTCACTGGGGATTTGGAGGCACAAGGCTCTCGGAACCTGATGTCATCAAATATTTAAACCATCCAGCTTCCCTTCTCTCACACTCTCAAAGCAGGCTTCACATCATAAATTGGCTTCCTGTGCACATTTTCCTACAGGGGAAGAATTTGCTGGACGTGGCAATGTGAGCATTCTGGTCCCTTTGGTAGTTGCATTTCTCATCGTATATTAATCCACTGGTTCTTTGGCTCAGATAGCAAGCTAAGAGCTGTTACTATGATCTGCTTCCCAACCCCCCCACCCCACCCCCAGCATAGAGGCTCTCTCTTAATGCTGTTAAGGTGAGGTTTATGAGCTTGGACCAGGATGAATTCACAAAGGTAAATGTCACCTCTGAGGCCACTTGGCAGCCGGCTAGCCAGCTTGCCCTGATGACACTCCTGTCTCTTCAAGCACATCTCCTTCAGGCTCCTGTGCTTTCTAGCCACATTCATGTCAGCCAGCTGTCTCTTTCTTTATCCTTCATTCTGTCTTTTCCTCTATGACTGTCTCTCTAATTCTATTGCTCTCTCTTCCTACCTCACCACCTAACCTTCTTTTATCCTTTCCTTTCTTCTTTCTGTTTTTCACCTTAATTAACCATGGACTTGAATAATAAAATATACCAGAAATATGCGCCAGGAACTGCGTTGGGCCATACATATAAATATATTTTGACCTCACAGTAACTTTGAAAATGTTTTTATCTCTATTTTACAGAGGGGAAAGTAGAGGCTCATAAAAGCTAAGCAGATGTGTTTGATAATTTGAAGTTTTACTGCTTAATTTTCAAAGTCAATAAATTTAAAGTGTTTTTTTTTTTTTTTTTTTTTTGCGGTACGCAGGCCTCTCACTGTTGTGGCCTCTCCTGTTGCGGAGCACAGGCTCCGGACGCACAGGCTCCGGACGCACAGGCTCAGCAACCATGGCTCATGGACCCAGCTGCTCCGTGGCATGTGGGGTCTTCCTGGACCGGGGCACGAACCCCTGTCCCCTGCATCGGCAGGCAGACTCTCAACCACTGCGCCACCAGGGAAGCCCCAATTTAAAGTTTTATATTTGCTTTATCTTAGGCAATAAAATTTGAACATTATTTTTGCCTGTGAGTCTATTGTCCTAGAAAAGAATCACCTTAGCTCTGTTTATTTCTTTCTTAGGCTGGAGAGTGGGAGATGGGATGGAAGAGGAAAGAGACAAACTGGAGATGTTTCTTTGAGCAGCAGGGCTCCCCACTGCTTTTGGCACCCTTCCTCTCCTCTTTCTTGAGAGCAGGGCTTGGCCTTGATTTCTCTGGAGCAATCTTAGTCTTCTTCATGAAGGAGATGACCTTCTCTGTTCAGCCAGGACGAATGTACTTCCGGTATCTGTGCAAAAGGAATAGATCAAATTTTCAGCCACCAGCTATGTAACTTTCAATAACTTGGAGATGGAGGTTGCAGTAAAGTTGGATCTGCTCCCTGGAAGACCACTTCTCTATATTTGGATGTTGAACTAAACTTCTCAGCTCCAGCAGGTGTTTCCTAAGCATGCTGGAGGTAGTGAGGTAAAAGTAGAGAGAAGCATCCCTGCCATCATTACCTCATATGGGGTTTGAGAGGAGTAGAAGAGAAAACTGGAATTTTGGGGGTTTTTTAATGCTCCGAATTGAATTCAATTTATTTTCTTTCATTATCAGCTTTAGAACTATTTCAAGAAATTGTGTATTATCCAAAAACATCACTTCAACATTATATCCTAGTAAAGCACACCACTGCTCTCTGTGATTAACCAAAATTACCCATGACAACTTACATGGCCTAATTTTAGAGGATCCCCAATCTCTTCTCTTCCACCTTAGTCTCATTCTGGTCAGGTACTTGTAATATAGTTTTATTATCACATTTCAATTGTGAAACAATGAAATTTCCAAACAAATATCCCACAGAACTACCATTTTTCTGATTAAAATGTTACACTACTGTGGTTGCTTCTCACATACAATATTTACCCCATATTCAAGTTTCTGATAAATCAACTGTAAGTTGAAATTCTGTTTCTGAGGCATTTCCCGGTATACTACGCAGTGCATTTGAAAAGATATTATATTTAGTCTATAATAATTATCTTTTAAGCGTCTCTATATAATTAACAACCATTCAAAAAGAAAGTGCAAATGAAGGAGAACAAAAACTGGGTTCCAGGCACCTACACTCTTATTCCAGGGAATAAGGCTGATTGTCTCCTGGAGACTCGAATATTTGGATCTTGGTTATAGGCTGGAGGGGCAGGCAGAGAATCAGCGCAGCAGCAGAGAAGTCCCAGGTCCGGTTGAAAATGGAGGCTCCAGACCCTGCTAGGTTCAGCACCACGGACAGAAACAAGACTGCCGCTGGCCCTCGGGCTCATAATTAAGCACCAAGGTCAGAACCCCCTGCAGCCCCCCCCCCCCCCAGCCCCGCGCTTGCTATTCCAGGGAGGAATCTAACCTGGTCCCTGGTTGACTGGCCCCTAGCACGTAAAGTTCGCAGTAAACCACAGTTTAGTTTCCATCTAAATCCCTCCAGAATTTCTACACTGAGGTGTCTATTCCGCAGCCTCCTGGTGAGAGTAGAGTTGCCTTGGAGCAACTCTTATTAAGATCCGGCTGATTTGCATATATCCGCATACACTGGGGCTTCTCCGTTCTGCTTTTATTATAAATGAATTGTTCAAACGAAGAAAGAGAAGATTTATTTCACTCCTTCTTTTCCTCTTCTTTCCCTTATTCCTAGGGTCTCAATCTGGTGATTTCCCCGAGGTACCTGCAGGTAGGTGTGTGTTGTAGGAGAGGGTGGGAACCAGACCATCCTATGTGGTTTTCCCCAGATAATTTCCCTCATCTGTTTGCCTTCTGAATGATCCTTGTGAGACTCATAGGGAGTCTGCATTTTGTTTTAGCAAATGGTCAGAACCTCTGGGCTGAAGTCCCTGGAGCTCAGGGACTGAAGAAAACGTGGCTGGAGCTTTAGAGACTCCAAAGAGGAAGGGACCCCGTTTTGAAGAGAGGGATGAGGGGTGGTTGAGTGAGGACTCCTTTTGAAATGAAAGGAGTCCTGGGTCTCCAAGCAGCTTCTAAAAATACCTTCTCCCAGCGCTGGGGGAAGGGGGAGGGGAAAATCGAGCGTGCGGAGAATAAAGATGGGAAGGAGGTGGGAGTGTAAGAGCCCTTCTTCAGGTAGATCTGATTTCAGAGCTTCCGCCTGCATTCAAGGGCCAGCAGGATGCCACATCTCCTTCTGCTTCCTCAGCGAGCTTCAGTCTTCTGCTGTGTCCGAGCCTCAGTCCCTCCTGATGACCTTTCTTTCTATGGGCAAAGGAGCTCAATTCCTCCCAGTCACTATTCCTATTGCTGCTGTCCAGCGACTATGTCTGTGAGCGGGCAAGTGTGCTTGTACACATACCACACACACACACACACACACAGAGAAGTGACATATGAAAGTGCCTTGTAAATGACCAGTGCTCCATGATGCCAGAAATTTTCATTCGATTTGGTGCTCAGAGAGGTATGGATTGTGGTAGAGACAGTGTGATTCACCCAGGTATCCTCAGCACAGAGCATGGCACCCAGTAACTGTTGGCTGAAGAGGGGTGGAACATATATATACAAGATGCACAGACATCCAGGCCATGCAGGACTCACATTCATTCTCAAGGTTTCTCCGGCTACTATAGCCTCTAGAGGAGAGGGGTGGCGTCCCCCAAGAAAAGAGCTCTGAAAAGCCACAGGGTGGGTGGAGCTTTCTCCGCTCAAGTTCAGTCCAGATGGTGGCGCTCGACAGCCGCCTCCCTCATCCTGGAGGGCCCCAGCCCTTCCCAGCATCAATGCCTTAAACCCTCAGCTAGCACGTAAATGACCTTCACTAGATAGAGGTCGTGCTCCACGTTTCCTTTCGCTTCTTCAGCGCTGGGTGAACTCTGCGAGGATTGCTCTTCCTCTCGCTGATGCCTGGGAGTCCGGCCGCTGCGCTCCTCACCAGTCCCCTGGGGCGGGCGGAGGGGGATTATGGGGTGGGGGGGACTCCAGGCTGGGGAAAGGGGTGGTTGTGGAGAGCGCTGCCTGTGTCCTGGCAGCAGGAGCAGGAACCTGAGGAACCGGTAGTTCATGCAAAATCTATCACCGCCCGTCCTGGCGTCCACATGGTTTCCCAGCCTCGGAAGAGCTGCTGGTAGGGTGGGACTCTGTCTGCCACTTTACTCTCCTTTCTCGAGTAGCTCTCGAGGTCGGGCTTGGCCTCTTCCTCCAGCCGCTGAGTGTGTGTGTGTCTGTGTGTGTGTGTGTGTGTGTGTGTGTGTGTGTGTGTGTGTGAAGAGGGCGGGGAGAAAGGGGGCGGGGTGGAGATACGAGAAGCCGCAGACACTGGAAGAAACCGAGGGCTGGGAGATAGAGGAGCTTCCCAGAGCTTGGGGTCAGGATACCAGGCTTCAAAACCTCCTACAAGTCCTAGGTACAAGGGGTCTTCCAGGTTAGCTCTGAGGCTGCAAGTGTCGTTGCCTCCCAGAGGTTCGCTCCTCCTTAAGCCACGCCCACATCGCCTACTTCTCAGGAATGAGAGGCTAAGGTTCAGCGCTCTGGGCCACCAACGTCAGCTCATCCCCCTCCCCATGAGCCCAAATGGCTCTCAGCGCTGCCCCACCCCCACGGTTTGGAGACTGGCGGGACCCCTTCCATCCCCCGCCTCCAATTCGCTGATCCGCCCCTGGCCTCTGAAACTCCACCCCTCCACCTTCTGCTGGCGGGGATTGGTGGACTTCCCGCGGCGGTGCATAATGCTTGGTCCCCATGGATGATGGTCACCGGCGAGATCCCGCCCCCCGCCGGCGCTGGGGTCTGGGGGCACTGCTCAGCGGTGCTGGGGCTGGCGCGGCTCGAGCCGCCGCCGCACTGACAGCTCGGTTTGCGGACCATGGAGACCGGCGTCGGCCCACATCCGCTGCGCCTGTTCATCTGCCTGATGCCGCTCTGTCTCGCCTTGCTTTTGGGACCAGGGAGGCCCGGGACCGCCGAGGAAGGTGAGGAGACTGGCGGCTGTTTTTGGAGCCTGGGATGCCAAAATACAGGAGGCTGGAGAGCTGGGGTGCTGGGAGAAGGAGTCGTATGGAGAGACTGGAGTCGGTATTGGGGTTTGAAGCAAGCGGGCAGCGGGAAGCAAAGAACTGGAGACACGGAGGGAAAGGTGGCTAAACAACGGAGAAGAGAGGAGCATTGAGAAGCTTGGGGACTGGAGACCTGGGAGGCTGGGGAAGAAAGAGACCAGGAACCGTGGGAGCCAGAGGCGACGGTTCAGGGGCCGGTGAGACGGACAGGCTGAGCAATTGGATGTGGGAGGTGTGGGGGCAGGGAGATGCGGAGGTGAGATCAGAGTACGGGGAGACGGGATGGAGCCCGAACGGCGGGGGGCTAGGGGACCACTGCGTGGCGAACAGGAGGTAGAGCGCTGGTGCCGCGGCGGGGGCGCGGGGTCTGGAGGCGAGGGTGGCGGGGCGCGGGTGGGGGCCGGAGTGTGTCTGGGTCCGGGAGCTGCCCGACGTGCTGACCAGGAAGCTGTCCGCAGTGCTGATTTTGAAGCGTAGACTAACCAACGCTATCCGAGTTGCCGGGTTTGGGGCTGCCCACTGGACCAGAGCCCGCATCTTGCCTAGATTTGGGGGAGCTGTACCCTCAGTTGAATCCAGAGGCGTAATATCCAGGTGCAGAATCCGGAGGAGCTGGAATCTGAGGCGTTGGCCTCGGGGTTGGTCGGGGCGCTGGATCTCTGATGTTTTCCAATATGCAATTCTGATGTGCTGTAAGTTATACCGAAATCGGGAAGCTGTCAGCGGTCCTGCCCATTGTCGCTGACGCGTCTGGGACCAACACTCTTAAAGGTCTCACCTTGGAGCCCCACCCCCTTGCTTAAGCTCCAGATGAGGAATCTTCCAAGATTTGGGGATGACCTGGGCTCCTGTCTCTGAGTTGCTGCTGTGCTGTCCAAACCAGTGCTTCTTGGGACCGATGCTGAGAGCGGAATCCAGACTGCTGGTCAGATGCCTCCTGGGGGAAGAAAGTGACTTCAAGCCTCTCTGGTATAGAAGGGGCCATGGCTTTATATATTAAAGGAACCCTGACAGTCTTCCACAGGGCAGTAGAGGTGACAGCCCCTGGGAAAGGGGCTGGCTGAGGAGATGAGAGGTTTTTATCTCTGTTGCTGCTGGCAGGGTCTCTCTACTTTGTTTTCCCCAGAGGCCTTGGGAGTCAAACTAAAAAGGTTCAAGTCTTTTCCATCCCTGGTGACCCCAGACCTCAGAAGAACACCCAAGTATGAGTGAATTCAGGGATATATACAGGAATCCTTTGATATGCTCACTTTCTCCCTCTTCTCGACGCTCAGTTATAATTTAGGGAACCTGGAAAGGTGGGGGGGATCACTGATCCCCCATTTAAAAGCCAGTCTTATGGTACTTGTCATGGATTCTGTGCCAGGCTGAATAATGACCCCCCAAATATTTCCATATCCTAATCCCCAGAATCTGTGTATATTATCATAAATGGCAATAGACTTTGCAGATGTGGTTAAGGATCTTGAGTTGGAGAGATTACCCTGGAGTATATGGGTGGCCCAGTTGTCATCACAATGGTCTTTATAAGAGGGACACAGGGGCAGTCAGAATCAGAGGAGAAGGCAATGTGATGACAGAAGCAGAGATTGAAATGGTGTGTTTTGAAGATGGAGGAAGGGGCCACAAGCCAAGGAATCCAGGTGTGGCCACTAGAAGCTGAAGAAGGTAAGGAAATGGATTCTCCCCGTTGAGCCTCCAGTGTTGCCGACACCCTCACTTTAGACCAGTGAGACCGATTTTCAACTTCTGACACCCAGAAATGTAAGAGAATAAAATTTTGTTGTTTTAAGCCACTGTTTGTGGTAATTTGTCACAGCAGCCACAGGAAACTAATACAGGCTCCCTCCCTAATCATCGTGGCTACCTTTATTTAGACTAGAGCTACTCACACTTCCTCGTGGGGAGGTATGGAGTGGAAAAACCGTGTCTGTGTCCTTCACCACATTCTCTGTTTCCTCAGTTAGCTTTTTTTTTTTTTTTTGGCCACGCTGCGAGGCTAAGTTGCCCCACCAGGAATTGAACCTGGGCCCTCGGCAGTGAAAACACAGAGTCCTAACCACTGGACCGCCAGGGAATTCCCTCCGTTAGCAAATTTAAAGTGAACTCGCCAAAGAATCTCGTACTCCTGAACTTCTGGCTTTCTGACACTTCTATTCTCCCCTCTCTCTAGTCACCCTCCTGGATTCCAAAGCCTCCCAGGCTGATCTGGGCTGGACTGCACTGCCAAGTAATGGGGTAAGTGTAAACCTTTCCTTCCCTGTCCCAAGGAGCCTCTGGTGGTCCAGGATTCAGTCCCTTTATCTCCCCATGGTTACATCAGATCGAAATGGTCCTCAGAGCATGTGGTCTCCAGCAGCCCTGGCTTCAAGCCAGAGTGACCTATTAGAAAACGTTGAGTCTTCAGTCAGACAGAAAAAGCAAGACAACTGACTGTGTCTAGGAACAGAAACGTGGCATCTGGATGGAGCCAGTGCTGGATGGTGCCTTGCACCCAATAGATCCAGCGAACAGTGCTGTTGATCGATAGATTGACAGAACAAGCAAGACTTGGAATCCTAAAAGAGGCTTGGAAACTTGCGGTAGTGGTGGGGAGATGTGGCAGTGTGACGGCAGTTTGGTGTTGTGGAAAGGCACTGGTGGAGAGCCAGGAGACGCCTTTCCTAGCTCTGCTACTAACCCGACGTGTATATCCACTCAAGTCACCATTCTCTGGAGCCTCAGTTTCCCCGTCAGTTGGACTCAGTTGTCTCCAACGTTTCTCCCAGCTCTGCGTCTTATAATTTCAGGGTTGTGTATAGAGAAGGAGGGGAGAAGAGAATGCAAAATGATGGGGAAAGGGGGTTTCAGCCCGAGTCACCGCCAGGGCTCGACCTCTTGGGGGCGCCTTGGCTCTGAGCTGCCCACATCTTTGTTCTCCTCCCCAGTGGGAGGAGATCAGCGGCGTGGACGAGCACGACCGTCCCATTCGCACCTACCAGGTGTGCAACGTGCTGGAGCCCAACCAGGACAACTGGTTGCAGACTGGCTGGATCAGCCGCGGGCGCGGGCAGCGCATCTTCGTGGAGCTGCAGTTCACACTGCGCGACTGCAGCAGCATCCCTGGAGCCGCCGGCACTTGCAAGGAGACTTTCAACGTCTACTATCTGGAAACCGAGGCTGATCTGGGCCGTGGGCATCCCCGCCCAGGCGGCAGCCGGCCCCGCAAGATCGACACGATCGCGGCGGACGAGAGCTTCACGCAGGGCGACCTGGGCGAGCGCAAGATGAAGCTGAACACAGAGGTGCGAGAGATCGGTCCGCTGAGCCGGCGGGGTTTCCACCTGGCCTTCCAGGACGTGGGCGCATGCGTGGCGCTGGTCTCTGTGCGCGTCTACTACAAGCAGTGCCGCGCTACAGTGCGGGGTCTGGCGACGTTCCCAGCCACCGCAGCCGAGAGCGCCTTCTCCACGCTGGTGGAGGTGACCGGAACGTGCGTGGCGCACTCAGAAGGGGAGCCCGGCAGCCCCCCGCGCATGCACTGCGGCGCCGATGGTGAGTGGCTTGTGCCCGTGGGCCGCTGCAGCTGCAGTGCGGGATTCCAGGAACGTGGTGACATCTGTGAAGGTATCCAGCGCACTGGGGGGTGTGGTGTGGGAGTGTAGCGCGCAGGTGGCAGTTGGGAGAGAGAGTGTCCTAGATGAAAGAGGCAGGGTGGGGAGTGCGGAAGCCACGGGATGTGGAGCCGGGAGTCCAGACATTTTGCGGTGCTTCCAGTGGGTCCAGCCAGAATCAGTGAGTGAAGTTAATGGGAGGTGAATTTGACTCCATATAAGGGGGCATCAGGACCTATATTTTAGGCACCATGATAAGCACCTCACACGGGCCCTCTCATTTATTCACAGCAATAAAGTCATCATTATTCCTATTTTGCAGATGAGGAAACAGAGGCTCAGAGAGATTAACACCTCACTTGCAGTTAGGAAGTGGGGAACTGGGATTTGAATCCAGATTTGCCCAACTCTCAAGTTCTTTCTACTACACCATGCTGACTCCCCTGTGCATAAGGAAGAATGTTACAGTTGGCCAACTCTATTAGCTAGGGGCTAGTGGAGTTGGTTGCATTATACGGAGTGAGCTCCCTGTCACCGACAATATGCAAGTCAGAGGCTGGCAGGGGGATTCTTTTTTAATTTTCTTTAAATTAATTAATTAATTTATTTATTTATTTTTGGCTGCATTGGGTCTTTGTTGCTGCGCTCAGGCTTTCTTTAGTTGCAGTGAGCAGGCGCTACTCTTCGTTGTGGTGCGCGGGCCTCTCACTGCGGTGGCCTCTCCCGCTGCGGAGCGTGGGCTCCAGGCTCGCGGGCTTCAGTAGTTGTGGCTCATGGGCTCCAGAGCGCAGGCCCAGCAGTCGTGGTGCACGGGCCTAGTTGCTCTGCGGCATGTGGCATCTTCCCAGACCAGGGCTCAAACTCGTGTCCTCTGCACTGGCAGGCAGACTCGTAACCACTGCACCACCAGGGAAGCCCAAGCAGGGGGATTCTTGAGTTGGAGAGAGAGACTGGGAGGTTGCACTGGATGACTACTAAGATCCCACCCAACTCTCTGAACTAGAATCACTGCACCCCCTGGGGCAGAGCCTCCATGTTGGGGGTTCTTTTGGACTCTCTGGTCTGTGGGGCACCAGGAACAGATCTCTCCTTCTCTCTCCTATCTGCATCTGGAGGACTGAACGGACTGGGGTAGAGAACACAGGACGTGGATGGACATATCAAATTGACGGTGTCCATGGTACGTTCAAGTGGAGGTAGCTAGAAAGTGGGTCTGGAGCTCAGCAACAGAGAGATAGATGCGACTTGAAGCTACAGGTGTGGTTGGGACAGACCAGGGAGAATGTGTGGGGTATGAAGCAAGAGGGCCAATGATGAAGTCTCACAGAACAGCACTATAGGAGGGGAAGTGGAAGAAATGGAGGCTGTAAAAAAGACTGCAAGGCAGTGATCAGAGGCTCGGAGAGAGTGTGATTTCATGGCAGCCAAGGGCGATGGAGGTACCCAGGAACGAATGGCCTGCAGTGTTGGTGAGCAGTCAGATAAGGCGAGGATTGGCCAGTGTCTGCCTGGTGGCCCTGGTAAGAGCAGTGTCAGCTGAGTGATGGAGAGAGCAACCAGCTGCAGTGGACTGAAGGACGAAGGCAGCTGAGGAGCTAGAGTCGGGGACCGTAAACACTCTCTGGAGGCTGGGTTTGAAAGGGCAGGAGAGGGCCTGGTGTCTTGAGGAGGACATTCGGTGGAGAGAGAATTTTTACTGTAGATGTGAGCCTTCTTTACACATGAGGGAGGAGCCAGTGGGGTACCAAGTAGGGGGTGGTGGGAGCAGTAGGCCTCGGGGGAAGAAGTATTTTATTACTGATGTGGATCGGAATTGCTGACACATGCTGCTAACAAAAAGCAGACCACGTTTTAGTCAGTTTCATTGTTTTTAAATACTCCACAGACAGTGCCCTACTGCCCATACCCTAAACGGACCGCTTTCATGGCTCCGCTCCCTGTACGGTAACCGGGAAGAGCTAGTAGAGAAGTGAATGACCAGCTGATGGCCTCTCTTCCCGCTGTGAGGTAGGAGAAGGGCATCTGTACCAGTGTACAGTAGAATCCTGGTCTGCCTTATTCACTGCTGTAGCTTCAGAGCCTAGAACAGCACCTGGCTCATATTCGATGCTAAAACATTGTTGAATGACTGGATCAGGTGTTGGAGGAGGGGGTTTGGATACACACTCTGGGCAATGAGAGGGACACACACACACACACACATACACACCCGGGAACCCAATCCCACTTCTGACTTTGGCTGAGACCAGACAAAGGCCATTTGTAATGGCATCAACTCTGCCTTGGGGAGTATGGAGGTGGGGAGGATGCCAGGGAAAGCTTCACAAGGGAGGTGTTATTTTGAACTAGGATTTGGAGGAACATAGCAGTTCACCAGAAGAGAAGGGGTGTAAGATTACAGGACAAGATCCAGAGGTGTGAAAGGAAAAGTTCAGTACGGATGGGTGGGGTGGCTGGCATTGGGGAGCTGTGGGAGGGTTTCAAGAAGGGAAGGAAACGGGCTTCCCTGGTGGCGCAGTGGTTGAGAGTCCGCCTGCCGATGCAGGGGACACGGGTTCGTGCCTCGGTCCAGGAAGATCGGGGAGCGGCTGGGCCCGTGAGCCATGGCCGCTGAGCCTGCGCGTCCGGAGCCTGTGCTCCGCAACGGGAGAGGCCACAGCAGTGAAAGGCCCGTGTACCGCAAAAAA